AAATAAACCTGTTGGACTATAACCTGGTGTCATCCGATTTCTGACCTTGTCCACCCCAGTCCAACACTAGCACCTCTACCTCAAGATTTTTGCTACTGAGAGAAGAAATCTCTTCATATCTTCTGAAGAATTTTCTGAAGAAGGGTCTAGGCCCGAAATGTCAGCTTTCCTGCTCCTCTGATGCTGCTTGGCCTGCTGTGTTCATCCAGCTCTACACCTTGTTATCTCAGATTCTCCAGCATCGGCAGTTCCTACTATCTCTCCCTCCAAAGGAAAGTGGGGTGGCCATTGAAATGCAGTTGGAGGGTCAATGTGCAGAAAACCAGTTATATGACCATAAGAATAGGAACAAGAGTAGGCTATTCATTACCTCGAGCCAGCTCCATATTCAATGGAATCATGGTTGATCGAAACTCTTCACATTCACTTTCCTGCCTTTCTCCATAACCCTTGAATGCCCTACTGATCTATCTCGATCTTAAATATTCACAAGGACTCTGTGCCCACAACCCTCTGTAGCAAGGAGTTCCAATAACACCCAACCTTCTGAGAAAGGAAACCTTCATCTCAGTCTTAAATTGACACCCGTTTATTCTGAGACTATACCCTCTGGTCCTAGACTTTCCCATGAGGTGAATCATCTTCTCAGCATTTACCCTGTCATATGCTCATACGAATGCTCGATGAAGCTCAGGGTCTTGTAGCAGACTGCCACTATGTCTTCCACAATACAGCTTCCCACTGGACCAGACAAACGTACTGCCAATAGCCAAGGAGTGGTTGTCACTGGCACTCAGCAATGTCAGACCACTCCTGCTGGTAATGGGCATCTGACATTAAAAACTGAATTTGCTAACAAAATAAATACTCTTTGTGGAGGGAGAAAATCCAAATTTAATGTTTGACATCAATGGCCTTTCCTCAGACATCCTTGGTTTTGGATCCTCCTGGTTCTTTGTTAGATCAGCTGCACTACTGCTATCACTTCCTTGACTGTTTTCATGAGGCCTGCTTGATGGATGAAAATATTCTCTATCTCCTGCTCATAGGTGGGTTTGCCTTGCTGCAGCACTTTAGATCATTCCAAGTAAGAGTGGGAGATCTAATGGCCACCATTCCCAAGTTTTTTTTTCATGCATGCCAAGGCTCCTTTAATTGGAAGTAATTTCTCTGAGAAGATGAGCTGTCACCCTATAGCTGAGCCTAATTTGCTGGGAAGGCGAGAAATTTTTGAATTTGTTAGCTCTAGCAAAAAAACAACTGGAAGATCCAATCCTCCAGCAATTGGGGTTGTAATTAGAAAATTGCTTTGTCTGTCATAAGACTTCTATCTTACTTCACCCTCTGGCACAATATGCTCTTCCCCTTAACTTAGTCACCTGAAAACCTGTGTGGGTATTTTTATTCTTCCCCAAAGATACTCAAACATGTTGAAATGTCAAGGCCCTAATAGATATTCCTGAGGACCATAACTTGTCACATCCTGCTACTCCAGAGAACCTTTATTTTATCCCTGTTGCCCCATTGAGTTTGGTTCCATAAACCAAAGAGACAACAGAACAGAAATCCACCTACCCACCATGCTAATAAGCTCTTCAAAACACAAGAAAGTCAAATTTCAAAAATGCATATTGACACCTCTTGGATTAGCTCATATTTTTCAAATGTTTAATCTTCTCATTACAGATTTCAGTACCTGATGTATTTATAATTATCCAGTTTCTGTCTCCCTCTTTTAAAATGATGGAGTGGCATATCTTCTTATTTCTTAATCACATTATTTCCTTAGTAATTATCATTTCAGCCGTTAGCAATTTGTTACATACTGTACTGTTTTGTTTAAAAAATGGTTTTGGTATCCATTAGAACTCCTTTTTGATATTTCAGGTTCAAGTTCCTGCCCACCTCCTGATGGAACTATTATCCATGGTACAGGAACAAAAGATAATTACTCAGAAAAAAAATCACATGAATCTATCTGGGATGGGGAATCAATTGTTTTTATTTTAAATACCTTGTTGATATAGATTAGCATAGTTAAAAATATCTCGAAGAATTTACAAAGTGTTCTTGGAAGAATTTTCTAACAGTGCCATCTAGTGTTCAGTTTCAGCTACCTGAAAACGTTTGTAATTGGTCATTAAAGTGTGTACACAAATAGTCCACATATTAAATATATAAATTGGAAATGCTAAAATTAATACTGTTGAAAGGCAGTGTAGTTAGTAAGATGTGAATTATTTAAATATTCTTCCCAAAATATAATATTTTAACTCAATTTCAATATTGTATCATCTTTATTCATTCCTGTTACCCAAATAATTTTCGCTGTTAACTCTCGTTTTTTTTTGTCTGTGGATTTTTTTTTAAAGATACCTGTAAAATGAAGTGAGTTTTGTGAAACTAGTTCACACATTGTTACCATTCTGCACTTTTAAACACTTCCTTCCTGGTTTCCACATGCTTATGAGGCCCAGAAGACTAGATTATCTGATTGTGTATCAAGGCAATATTAATTAATAATTGTTCAACTGTAATTGTAATTCTCCACTTGGTTTTCATAAAAATATTTTGGAGTTTTTCAGACATGTTGAACTTTATAATCTAACAACAATTGATTCTGTTAAAATACAGTCTCAGGAAATTCAATTACATATGTTTACAGCATTTTACATTTCTAAAATAATTTGCTTGTCGTTTTGGTTTTTTTCTTGTACAGGTCTCTTCACTTTACTTCTGGCTGCAATGTTTCCTAGCAACAGTGGAGACAGGTTTACATTATCCAAATTGTTAGCAGTAATTTTAAGGTATGTATCACTAAAATTTGAATAAATATCAAAACTTGCTAAATTGTTGGATTTCGGTTATAGATGCTGCCTTTTCCTCAATTAAAATGTTTGCCCTATTTGTTGTACATTACAGCTTTAATCTCATCCTTAAAGGAGTAATTCCTTCTAAGAGAAATTAATATATTTTTCTGTTTATTCTTTTAGCATTGGCGGCGTTACCCTTGTAAGTCTCTCAAGTAATGATACAGAAGGAAAAGGCACAATAGGTAAGATATTATGCTCCATTCTTGTAGAAAATTGCTTTGAAAGTAACCATTTTTATGGTATTATGTACTTACTGCGTGCCAACTTGTGCATTGTTCAAAATCCATTTTACTTGTGTATTCCCATTACAAAAGTCAGTAATGATTTTATTTACCAGTTCAGTACAGTAATTCCATTAATGTACAATAACAGACTTGTAAATGACAACAGTAATGAGTTAAATGCTTTCATTCAACTCAACTGATTGATATTCAGACTATAATGTTAATTATGTTTTTAATATTTAAGGAATGTGATTTAAGTGTTCTTCCTTCAAGATAGTGGCAAATATAAATGGATTATTTAGACCCATCTTTATTAACTCTTGAAATTTAACAGCATCAGTAGTGATTGTTTATTGTTATGAAGCAGATATTGGCCAAGGTATGTTCTGAAACTGTTAGCATTCAGCATTATTATTTGACTGAAACTGACCACGCTTCCAAAATCCACATTTTTGCGGAGTGAAAGAGAAATTCAAAAGTTGCTGTTGATGAATCTATGCTTCCATCCAGACTGCAATTAATCAGAAATCAATTGAATTGATGAGAACTAAAACTTTCACACTGTTCGTCTCACTGGAAGAACGCTGGAAAAAGATGAATCTGTTGAATGAATTGTAACAGGATTTCTAATAGAGAACTAATTCCAATATTACTGTTAAACACACTTTCTTACCCTGAGAAACTTATTATACATTAGACAAGCAGTTTCCTTATTTCTTTAAAAGATTTATCTTTGTTTTATCTTTGTTTTATCGTCTATCTTAATCTGATCATAATTAGTTGCCTTGATATCTGAAAATTTGTGCAAGCAAAGGTAACTGGTTTGCTGTGTTTCAATGTGATTGCCTACTCAGCTGCTTGCTGAAATCACGGCTGTGCACCAAGAGATCACTATGCCTTCATGCTAGATTTTACCTACTCCCAGGAAAAGGGAAAGCAACACTACAGAGACTGTTAGATATTTGTGGGCACCTTGATTCAAAGCTGACGGCAAGTACTGTTCCTTTACTGTTGACTACAAAATTCAAGTTAATATTGATTAGGCTGCTGAGACAAATGAGTTTAGATTGAAGAGTTTAAACAAATTGAAGATGTTTTATAATGCAAGTAGATTGCAAGATGCAAGAATCAGTTATTGTTTTAGAGTATGAACCCTACTTGGTAACAAAAAAAAGTTGTAGAGATTTACTGAAGAAAATGACAATTGTCATATAGATGTTTTGTTATCTTTTGGAGTTTTATTTTTCTTAGGTTCAGCATCTCTGTCCGTTATGTAAACTGGACTCTCTTCACTTAGAAATGGGATCAAAAAGCTATGATATAGATTAAAAGAGATAGTAGGAACTGCAGATGCTGGAGAATCTGAGATAACAAGGTGTAGAGCTGGATGAACACAGCAGGCCAAGCAGCATCAGAGGAGCAGGAAAGCTGACGTTTCGGGTCTAGACCCTTCTCCAGAAATGGGGGAGGGGAAGGGGTTTCTGAAATAAGTATGGAGAGATGGGGAGACGGATAGAAGATGGATAAAGGAGAAGATAGGTGGAGAGGAGACAGACAGGTCAAAGAGGCGGGGCTGGAGCCAGTAAAGGTGAGTGTAGTGTGGAGTAAGGGGGGGATAGGTCAGTCCAGGAAGGACTTTTACTATATTTTTGAAATACATCATGTTCTGCTATATGGCACTCAAATCCTCCAAAAATGGATTGCGCACACACTCTGACAATACTGGCATGCAGACTTCATGCAATGTAAATAAAACAATTTTAGCTCAATGAAATTAATAGTGAACAATAAAATGCAAATTACTGTTCTTCATCAAAAGAAGACTCACTTTCTTTCTCAACAATCTGACCGAACTCCTCCTCGCTTGACATAAAGCCTACAACGTTGAGCAGTTGATCCACCAGACTGAAATGCTGACTGTAGATTAATTATTTAACAATGCATGAAACCCCAGATAAAGACATGGTGAGAGATCCATCCCCACTGAACTTTCCATTGAAGAGTATCAACCCAATCTATGTTCCCATCACCATCTTGTAGGTCTCTGGCACAGGAATTGAAGGAGACCATTCAGCTGCTCAGAACTCTCCCTTGTTTCAGTGAAATCATAGCTGATCTCTATCTCAACTTCTTAGCTCCTTATATTTTGATACATTGGCTAGCAAAAATATTTCAGTCTCTGATTCAGAGTAATTAGTTGAGCTAGCTACCTCTGTTTCTTATATGAGAATGTTCCATAATCCTGTTTTCCTTTGTGCAAACAAGTATTTCATAAATTCTTTTCTGAATGGATTGGCTGTAATTTAAAGTTATGCACTCATGCCCTAGACACTTCAATGTAACAGAAAAAGGTTTCCTCCTTTTATACCCGGTCAATTCCTTTGAAAATGCTGAAAACATCAATCAAATCGTTCATTAATGTTCTATATTTGAGGGAATAACAAGTCTAGTTTACGTAATCTCTTTGCATAATTTAATCCTTGGAAGACTGTTAATATTTCAGTAAATCTGCATTACACTCCTTACAAGGCCAGAATCACCTTTTCTAAGGTGCAGTGCCTAGAATGGGTGTACTCCTACTTCTGCTGTAATCTAACCAGGATTTACGTAGCTATAATTATACTTCTTCCCTTTTGCACTTCGGTCCTCTAGTTATATGGTATAAGTCTTTTTTTTTGTATCTGTTAGGATTCATTAGATTTTACTAAAATCTACTGGGTTTTAGCTATCTGTATACATGGATGTCAACTGTTTGCGAGCTTGTCACTATTCATGAAGTACAAGGCTATGGGCCTAGTGGTGGAAAATAGGACTGGTGTGGGTTTAGAGTAGTTTCTTTGGTATAGACTTAATAAGCCGAATGGCCTCTTCTGGACTGTGATTCTATGATACAATGCTGCCCTTCGGTCCAAAATGAAAGAACTCGGATGTTCCTATTAATAAAATCCTTCTATCACAGCTTCAACCCCTCACTCAATCTATCAATGTCCCTTTGTAATTTTGCGCTTTCATTCACAATGCTGAGAAATCTAGAAAACAAATTCACAGCCTCAGAATAAGGGAGCAAACATTTAGGACTTAAGTGAACAATTTCTGTATCGTAGTACAGGACTTGGGTATTGTTGGGTTGAAAAACAAGTCCTGCTGTTGTCGTCTTTTCTCTTGCATTTCAAATGGACCATTAATTCAGATTTTGTGAGAAAAAGGTCCCCCCTTTTATGCATTATAAATTGGTGCCCCTTTTGAGATTTGGTGTTCTAACATTTGAGTGGATGAGTGCAATACAAAAAAAACTTCAACAATGCATGCCTGTTTTTTTCAGTAATATCAGGAGAAATTTCTTCACTTAAAGGATTGTTGAGCATACGGTGGAGCTTGATAAACATGTAGCTATTAAATGATGTGGGATAATGCGAGAAGGTGCAGTTTGAGATAACAGATCAGCCATGATCAGGCTGAATGACAAAACAGTCTAGAAAAACAAAATGGCCTACTCCTGCTCTAATTTCCTCTGCTGTTATGTACTTATACTACTTACAATGCCACAAATCTTTGTGTCACTGGCAGACTTGCCAAAATGGCCATCCGTTATGTTACCTAAGAAACTAATAACGGTGAATAGCTGAGGCCCTATTATCAGTGTCCCCTCTAATTTTTCTTTTCTTCTACGCAGCAGCAACTTCTGGAACTGGAAGTCACTGCTGTGATCCATGTCAGCAGGCCAGTCATCATATGCGGAATGGTGGAGCAATTGCACACACGGACAAAGCTGTGTAGCTTAGTGGAAACGTTGCGTGTTCCTGATCACTGAGGAACAACACTAATTATTTTCTTCCAATTCCAGTATATGTTTATTATCCTTACTCTCCATCTTCTATCGCCAAACCCAACATATTTATGTTTGAGTAGATTCGTAGCCTGGGTTGTGGATGCTGTGCTTGGTTGGCTTGCCGAGCTGGTTCACTAGTTCAGATGTTTCATTACCCTGCTGGGTAACTTCATCAGTGCAGGCTCCGATGAAGTGCTGTTGTGTTTTCCCGCCTGGTATTTAAACTCTGGGGTCCATTGGAATTGGTTACCGCATTTCTAGTTTTTCCTCGCAGTGGTGTATATATAGGGTCTAATTCTATGTGTTTATTGATGGCCTTCTTGGTGGAGAACCAAGCCTCTAGAACTTCGATTGGGATGACATCAGGATCCTAGGACCAGGCCAGATAGAGACAAGCAAGGGCATTTCTGGAACCATGAAGTTCCTGACTTAATTTCTAGCTTCCTGTAAGCCAACATTTTGGCTAAAGAATAAAAAGCTGGCCTGCTGCTAACGATTAAGGTAAATGGATCCAAGTAAGTGGATAAGTAAGTGGACAGCATGGTGGCTTACTGGTTAGCACTATTGCCTCAACCATAGATGCAGGTTCAGTGCCAGCTTCAGGTGACTGTCTGTAAGGAGTTTGCATGTTCTCCCCGTGTCTGCGTGGGTTTCCGCCAGGTGCTTCAGTTTCCTCCCACACTCTGAAGTTGTGAAAGCTAGATGGATTCGCCATGGGAAATGTGGGATAGGTTAGGGGGCTGGGTCTGAGTGGGAGCAACCGTGCAGACTCGATGGGCCAAATTGCCCCTCTCTGCACTGTAGTGATTCTATGATTCTGAATCATTGCCATCTAAAAACCCACATTAGAAGATAAATGGCAAGTGATGGTTAAGTATTGCATACTTTTTATCACACAGGCTACCCATGACGAAATAACACCTAGCATTCATTTAACCTTAGAGTTCTAGAATGGCTACCTGGATAAGGTAATGGATGTCCTCTGCTACTTTTACACCCCAGTATAATTGTCTCTGCCATCCGGCAACGTGACTGACTAAAAAAATCATAGATAGTTATATAGTAGCCCTAATTAAACATAGGCCTCACAATGTTCACATCACAGGACTTCCAGCAAAAGAGGACTTGA